GGATTAACATGTCAGTAACCTTCTTACAACATTCTTTTTTAATTCTTTCTGATTTAAATTTAAAATGACTGTGTTTTATACACATGATTAATAAACTCGCACTACTTATAGCTTGCAGCTTACTTATGTTTTATTAATGTAGAATAAGGAGCTGCAAAACAGTGTTTTTTAAGGATATAATCCTCTTTGTCCTACATTTCATCTGTCGGCGTAAAAAAAGTAGGATTTAAGCGTGCTAACTCTTTATAAAGCTATCGCAGTTCCATCTGTTAAACGGCAATACTCAAGAAAAATATAAGGCGCATGTCTACATTGTCTACATAAAAATTATATAGGAAAATTTTGGATAATATTAAAAAAATGGAAAACTCTTTTATTATGCACAAAATTGATTCAGAAAAATTACATCTATTTTTTACATATTCTATTTAAGTATGTAAGTATCGTATTTTGTTTGATTTAGGTCGTCAAATCTTAAAAACATGTCAGCTCATATAATATTAAGAAATTTAAAACAAAACTAAAAAAAAAAAAAAGAAAATATTCAACTTGTTAGTAGTTGGTGGTTGAAATAAATTTATATAATAAATATTTTCACATTTTTCAATCGTCTGAACATCCACAACTGCAAAACCAATACAACCCACTCCAAACTTCAATTATTCGTTTTAGTGAATGAGACTCATATAACTACAATGTGCAGAGGTATAGTAGGAAAATCGCAGCGCCTGCAATAAAAACAGCAGGAAAAATAACTATATACTAAAATATCTGAAGGGATACAGCAATAAACTACCTGACAGTATAAACTATCTAAGCATGGTTGCATTTAAAAGACGACTCAGAAAAATGATATTTAACACGTTAAGCGCCAGAGGGTAATTTCAAAATTGTTCGTTTTGGACCAATGACTTAGTAAGGAAGATATTGTGGAAATAAATATGTAACATATGTTTATTTTTTATTTATTGTTATTATAAGGTTTTTGGGGTTATTTTTTATCCATTGGTCCCATGAGACCAACGTGGTCCAGCAACCGTAAAATCGTTTCGCTGGACCGTTGGTCCCCCCCACTCAACCACCTGTTGCTGTCGCCCGCCAATGCCAAACATTGGAAGTCGTTTGAACCTGTTTGTTTAGTTGTAAATGAACTCTCGTCAGTACGTGGATGGTGCGTGGACATTTTTTCAGTTTTTGTGCTGAATAAAATGTGGCGCTAGGAATTTAGAAGCTTTTGTGAGGAAAGTTTTGTAATTATTTTTGAGAGTTTTTTGATAAATTATTAGTAGGCGTATACAAATTTTATTGAAAACTCACATTTTATTATTTTTTAAATCACAGTAAGTCGTGAGCGTCACGTTTGCTTTTTAGATGAACAGAAAAACATACGACAAAAAGAGGCCTTTGAAGCCAGATGAAATTATTAAGTATGTGTTGAAAGACCTGACATGCTTGATGAAGATTCGGACGATTCTTGTGCCGATCCATGTTTTCAGCCGAGTGGATCCAGTTCAGAATATGAGTCAGAATCTGATGACGGGGGCTGTATTCCAAAGCCAGATGATAAAAATCAGGCACTTATTTCCAGAAATAGTCATGTTTTACCAACCACTTCCGGTCTGATCACTATGAGTGAACCTAAAACTGCGATAAATTTAAATGATAATCTGTCGTCAACAACAAAAGATGACCGTCCTGAAGAAGAACCTTCCAGCACTGATTTTAGTACCGTTCCGAATAATCCATTACCAGATTCTGATAAAAACGAAGACCCTGGTGTAAATGACGATTGGGAACCAGTTCTAGGTAATCAACCAAAAATAACTGCTTTTCAAGGAGTGAAAAACGGTGGAGTAGATCCGAATGTAGCAGCTTTATTGGCCTACTCCAGTCCAGGTGAAGTATATTCTGCTCTTGTGGACGACCAAATTATTGCTATGATTACTGATCAAACAAATTTTTATGCTACGCAGCAAATTTTAAACACAGATGCTGCGCCTGGATCTCAACTACATTCTTGGGATCCTGTTACTACAGATGAAATTAAAACTTTCCTAGCTTTGATAATGTGGATGGGCCTTGTAAAGTGCCCTTTTATAAGAGATTATTGGAGCCAAGATTCTTTGTACGATATCCGATTTGCTCGATCAAAAATGACAAGAAATAGATTTAAATTAATTTTAAAAATGATCCATTTTAGTGATAATTCGACATGCCAACCTGGGGACCGGCTACATAAAATTCAACCTTTGGTAGATTTTTTATTAAAAAACTATCAAAGCGTTTATAGTCCAGGTGAATACATATGTGTGGACGAGTCAATGGTTCCCTTTAGAGGGCGACTTCTCATGCGACAGTATATGAAACAAAAAAGACATCGTTACGGAATAAAATTATTTAAGTTATGCACCGGTGGTGGTACACCTATGATCTTAAAATCTATTGCAGCAAAAACTTAGGAATTGAAAAAACGGTGCCTACGGATATAGTTTTATCCCGGTCAGAAAAACTGCTCTATCAAGGACGTACCATGTGTACTGATAATTGGTATACAAACCCAGATTTAGCTAACAAACTTCTAGATGCCGATGCACACTTACTTGGAACTGTTCGTGTAAACTGAAAAGGTTTACCTAAAAGAGTGGTAACAAAAAAGATGAAAAAAGGAGAAGTTTACGCGGAAGAAAATAGAAGAGGAATAACAGTTTTAAATTGAAAAGATCAACGAAATGTTGTTATGTTGTTTACTAAGCATTCTGACGAAAGCGTTGAAGTTAATCACAGAAGTGGAACTAAAACCGAAAATGGTAATTGAATACAACACTGCTAAAAGTGATCAGTCGATTTATCAAATCAAATGGGAGCTTATCGTAACTCCTTACGTAGACCTTAAAGTCGTACCGGAAGTTGGGCTTTGAGCTTTTATTAACCACAAGTGATGTAAATGCACACATATTATACAAAGAAATCTCCAGAGAAAACATTTCAATTACAGATTTTAAATAAGAAATTATTCGATGCCTAACTACCAACCAAAATAACGAGAACCTACGACGTGACATTCATAGACCACGGCTGCCCGAACTAAAATCTAAAGAAGGAAAAAAACACGACGTAAGACGTATGTGCGCTAATTGCTACAAAGAAATATCGGAAAAGAAAGGAATAAAATTCGCCCAAAATAAAACAAAAAAGTAGTAACGTTTTGTGAACAATGCGAAGGAAAACCATTTATGTGCCTCGAATGCTTTAATGAATTACACAGAAATAACTAATAATTTTCCCTTTTATTTTTTGTACAAAACCCCAATACATATTTAAGTTTGTTTTTGTTATTTCATTTAATTTAAAAACGCTATTTTAAAATAAATAGTTTGCTCATTATGAGATGTGTTGCTTTTTTCGACCCTTTATTTAATTAGGTACCACAATTATATATATAGATGATAGATGGTGCTCTATAATGTCTTTACTTGCTACGGGATCGCGACGGTCCTCTACATACTAAAAACGCTTAAAAGTAGGACCAACAGCCAGCTATAGACATTTAAAATTTGCATGTATTGTTGGTCCCATCGGCCCAACAAGGTCGTTTAGTCTAAAACTGTTGACGGTCCCATGGGACCGTCATAGCGCTCAACGTGTTAATATGGTTTCTTCGAAGAATGAAAATGTAAATCAGTCTTTGTCTTTCTGTATTGTTACTTATGCCCGTTTTTGTTCTATTTATATTGAGTTTTTATATTTTGATACTTCTTTGTAAGTAACTAAACTTTTAAAATTTACTTGTCAAGCCCAGATAGCTCTAACTCAGGCCTTTGAATACAGGGTGTACCAATAAAAACTCCCAGGCCGGATATTTTGGTAAGTAATAGAGATATTTTAATTCTACAAAAGCCAGTTCATAGAGCGCTAAGGGAGCTTCAGTTTTAGATATAAATTAATTTTAAATAGGTCAGTATGTAGATGGCGCTGCGCTCAATATATTTTTTTCGATGAGAGGATCTTTCTTATTTAACGCATCTTGGAAAAATGTATTTTTAAGCAGATTTTGTTCTATAAACTAATTCGATAAATCTAGCCATTTTTGATATACAGAGTGGGTCACTCAAAACAGTTTTATCCTGTTTTTCAGCATTAATCATTGAATTTTAAGAAAACGCTAAAACAGGTCGATTTTTATTCCAAATTAAAAACATTTTTACAATACAGAGATCTGTCATGTGTCAACCCCCTCCCTTTTACTTCTCCAACACCTTAATTTTAAAAAGATAATATACCATGTATGCCACATCATTGAAAAGGTAATTAATGGAAAATTCAGAAATATTTCTGTATATTGCGTTACTTAAATTTTATTTCCCTCTAGCGGGATAAAACATTACTACGTATTATAGAGTGTGATACTACAATGTGTAGTATATCATTAAAAAGGTAATTTTATAGGGAATTTAGAAATATGACTGTTCATTGCGATACTTTTAATTGTTCCGCCCTCTATCGGGATAAAAAAACTACGGATTATACAGTATGACACCTTATTTGAAAGCAAATTTAATTAATAATATAATGCACTACATAACTTTAATATAAATATCCTCCATATTGCACTTGCAATAGTTTGAAAATTATTCATGCATTATTTTAAACATTATTGCTAACTTTATTTTGTTACAAGTGCCATATGGAAATATTTATACTAATGTTATGTGGTGCATTGAATTAGTAATTAAATTAGCTTTCAAATGAAGTGTCACACTTTATAATACATTACAGGTGTTTTATCCCTCTTATCGAGGGAAGTAAAAATCTAAATATTGCAATTTTATGTTTTATAAACCAAATCAAATTTTGTAACAGCGGCTTAAGAATACGTAATTTATTTTTTAATCGATTCAGATAGGTATTATAAATATGAAATGAAGAAACACATCTTTATCTTCAAAATATTTATTTACAATCCAATAAATAATTTATATTAGGTTAGGTACATCATAATTTTACCAGGGTTGAGCGACTGGAACAGCAGAGTATGCAGATACTACTGGAGAGTGAGCAGCGTAGCTGGAAACAACTGGAGAGTGAGCAGAATAGCTGGACACAACTGGAGAGTGAGCAGCATAGCTGGATACAACAGGACCATGTGCAGCGTAGCTGGAAACAACTGGAGCAGCATGAGCAGCATATACCGGAGATGAATAGGCCAAGGGGACACCAAAGGACTTGGTTACAAGAGGAGAGGAGTAAGCAGATACGACAGGAGCAGAGTAGCTTGAAACAACTGGAGCAATGGCTTTAGCTACTACAGGAGCTGGAGCGGCATAAGAAGAGATGTATGGAGATCCATGGTTGGTGTAGGTGCTGACTACCGATTTAGATACGGCGGGGCTTGCGATCAGTGGTGATGAGTAGGCTACTGGTGCTGGATGTACGCTTTTGGCTACCAAAGGTGTGGAGTAGGCTGATACTACTGGACCGGCTGAATAGGCTACTGGGCCTGCAGAGTAGGCTGCTACTGGACCTGCAGAGTAAGTTGCTACTGGACCTGCAGAATAAGCCTCGCCGAAAAATCCAGCGTTGGCGTAAGCGAAGATGGAGGCGAATACTATAACCTATAGAGGTAATATTTAAAATTAATTTTTCGTGTCTCAAAAATATGATAATTGTTTCATTATACTTATTAATTTTAAAACATAATTGGAACTACTGTAATTAAAAGATTTTTGTTTTTAGGTTATTAGTAACAACGTAATAATATTTCAAATAATAATTTTTAATGGTCTGTAAACTGTTTTGGAAATAAAAGGTATTATATTACTTTTTGTGCCAATTAGGGATAATTTTAGTCTTTTATTAAAAATAAATGGATATTTCGGTATTTTGTAGGGAACAAGTATTAAAAAATTAAGTTGTTTATTGTAATGACACTTATAAGAAATACTTATGTTTTGATTGTACTTAAAATTTGATTGTTTAATTTTTTGAATGTCACCAATACCAACACAATAAAAAATATCATTAGAAGCATTTCTAATAAAAATGAAATAAACACAAACTTCTTATATCAGAAAGGAATATTAATGAGAAATTTAAAAAATTAATTAGTAAAAAATATTTTCAAATATGTTTAATTTGCTTTTTCAATTTTCCAATTTAAAAAATTATTTTGCTGTTTTTAAACTGGCCTGAAGACCAATTGTTATTTTAATCTGGCACTTTATAGTAGTTATACAAAAAAATATATAAATCGTAAATATAAATTAATTATCAAACTTTCTTTATCATTTTATGGATTTAATTATTTTAAAAATTAAATTAATTATTATTAAACCATTATGATAAATTATATAAATTTGAATATATTAACTTACTTTGAAAGCCATTTTGAGAAGTTGATTTGTTCAGAGCAGTGATAGACTGATACAGATTTGGCATTTTTTAAAGCTTTTATACCCATTAACAAAAAATATCGTGAGTGGATCACTTTCATTTCTATTACACGAAGGTCTAGGTTATTATTTATGTAGGAACTACTTATTTTGTCATAATCTGGTTTGGTCAATATCATTAAAACAATGAGAATAACCAAAACGAAGACAATAAATATCTGTTTATTTATTCGGACTGTTTATAAGAAATTAATTTAAACAATCGGACCCTATAGTTGAATTTTATCAAAGAAATATTTTATTTAAAGTTCTGTTTAAAGTTCCTTTAACATAAATCATTTCATAATAATTTTCTTAACGAACTTTTAATATTACTTGCTTTAACCAAATTTTACCTTCTTTTTTTTAATTAGTTTAATGGCTGTAAGACCTTCTTGATATTGCTGATTTGTGTCTTATTCTAATATTACATGGTTTATATTTTATTTCAAAGTGATACGCCCTCTGGAGGAAATTTGTGACAGGTTTCTATAAGTAGGACGTTGTTTAGTGTTGACAGCAGTAGCAGAATTTGGCTACGTCGTCAGATTTGTAGCCCCTGAAGAAGTGAAAAACCTATTTACTATATATATATATATATATATATATATATATATAGGTAATCGTACGTTGAGGCACCAAAAACGCATTTATATGGGCGAAGTGGCACCTATATTTACGTTGTTGCACCATTGCAAGGTGCCAGATCGTTTTATTGCATATTTGGTCGTTTTAACTCCTTACTAACCCCTCTACCAAATTTCAGAAAGGTGCCTTTTCGACCATTTTTCTATAAAAACACGATTTTAGTTGAACCGTATACTCCCCAGAGGTCAGGCCGGTCGCTCACAACGCTCAGACGTTTACGACGTAGTGGCACCTCGCATGTAAAAATGCTTTCTTACTTTGTGGCACCTCACTTTGTATACATTTTCTTACTTTGTGGCACCCCAGTTTGTTCTCGTAAGTGAACGTAAGAGCACCTTAGGTCCTTTGGTGAAAATATCCCAAATACCGGCTAAAATATATGTCGACGAACAAAAGAATATTATAATATGTATGGTTCAATTCCAAATTTGACAATATAAATTTACTTTTCGAGTGATAAAATTAATTAATATAAATAAATTAAAATAAATTAAAATAAATTAAAATAAATTAAAATAAATTAAAATAAATTAAAATAAATTAAAATAAATTAAAATAAATTAAAATAAATTAAAATAAATTAAAATAAATTAAAATAAATTAAAATAAATTAAAATAAATTAAAATAAATTAAAATAAATTAAAATAAATTAAAATAAATTAAAATAAATTAAAATAAATTAAAATAAATTAAAATAAATTAAAATAAATTAAAATAAATTAAAATAAATTAAAATAAATTAAAATAAATTAAAATAAATTAAAATAAATTAAAATAAATTAAAATAAATTAAAATAAATTAAAATAAATTAAAATAAATTAAAATAAATTAAAATAAATTAAAATAAATTAAAATAAATTAAAATAAATTAAAATAAATTAAAATAAATTAAAATAAATTAAAATAAATTAAAATAAATTAAAATAAATTAAAATAAATTAAAATAAATTAAAATAAATTAAAATAAATTAAAATAAATTAAAATAAATTAAAATAAATTAAAATAAATTAAAATAAATTAAAATAAATTAAAATAAATTAAAATAAATTAAAATAAATTAAAATAAATTAAAATAAATTAAAATAAATTAAAATAAATTAAAATAAATTAAAATAAATTAAAATAAATTAAAATAAATTAAAATAAATTAAAATAAATTAAAATAAATTAAAATAAATTAAAATAAATTAAAATAAATTAAAATAAATTAAAATAAATTAAAATAAATTAAAATAAATTAAAATAAATTAAAATAAATTAAAATAAATTAAAATAAATTAAAATAAATTAAAATAAATTAAAATAAATTAAAATAAATTAAAATAAATTAAAATAAAATAAAATAAATTATTTTTATGTTTTGCAATAAAGTAAAATGAAAACTAGTGATCATTTTTTTAATATTTATTTTGTTTAATTATCTTAGAATTAACAAGTATTATAATAATACTTTCTTTAATTCAATCTCGCGAGTAAATTTCCTAAAGCCGACTAAGCCTGTGTGGGGAAAGGACGGCTATTATTTTTATGGCGCTCAGTGACTCAGTGACTTAAAGATGATTTATAGAGCTATTTGACTTAAAGGTGAAGAAAACCCGAAAAACCTCAAGCATTATCATCAAAGCGGTAAAGCATGGCGAATTTGTAATATGGATGTCATATTAATAGAAATTAAATTACTGCAAATACGGCACACACCAAATTCTATAACGAACCATGCAAATTAATTAAAAATTCACTTGGTTTGCCGTAGGATTCTAAGCCGTTTGTCTCTCAACCACAAAATTGCCTACAAGTGAATATAAACGCCTTAGACAACTACGCTACCGAGCCAACTATGTTGTTTTTGTATTACTTAAACTGATATAGCGTATTACATTACAAGTATGAAAATTGAAATTTTTTACTCGAGTGGGACACAAGTGTATAAAATCACTTTTACACAAGGCATGTACAATATTTTTTCTACGACTACAAATTCATTTTATAAAAAGAGTTTAAAATCAGAAAATCTGGCTATAAAGTTCAATCAAAATGTGGCTGGTTTTTTTTATATGCCTTAATAAATAATTTTTATAGCATTTTACCTATTGTGTTTGGTCGTAATTAAAAACTTAATTTCATTTATAATCACTTTCATAGGATAATAACGGTGAAATCACATTAGGTATAAATAATAATAATAATAATACTCTCCCTAATTCACCCCCTTACGAGTGAATTTTAAACCCAAAAGCTAGCTTGTGCGGGGAAAGGGACGGCTATTATTGTTATTTGCCCTGGCGTTTCGAGGCGACTTAAAGATGATTGATAGTGCCATTTGACTTACATGTGAGAAAAAATAAAATATTAGTTCATTTTTTTTTTTCAAAAACAATATATAATAAGATGAACAATCGTGAACAAGAACTTTCTTGTAATTCTACTTTAAATTTTTTGCTGAACAATAATCAAAATAGTACAAAATAAATAGCGAAAAGAAAAGATCGTACATAAGATTAATAAAAAGTACCTATTTAAAATAAATAACAAAACTCGTATTTTTAATTTTCATATTTTAAAAAAAAGACGTTGCTTCCATTTCGTCGCGATATGGTCGAAACATGCAAAGTTGATAAAATTGAGCGCTCTGTAAACTGAGCTAACAAGCTTGTCGCATAAATTATCCAATCAAATATATAAACAAAACAAAAATAAAAAAAATAATATTACCTTAAAATTGTTTTAATGATTTGTAAAAAATAATTATCTAGAATCTAGGTATAGAAATAAATATTCACGATTTAAATTTACTATCTTGTGGCATAATAAAAACTGCATATTATGCGTTAGTTGACTCTCATTTACGTTATGCTGTTCAGTTTTGGGGAGTCTGTTCTGCCGAATTATTTGGTAGAGTCCTTATAATGCAGAAACGGGCAATAAGGTTCTTATGTGGAGCACACAGATTAGTTTCATGTAGACCGCTGTTCTTAAAACAAGAAATATTAACATTACCTTCTTTATTTTTCTTAGAAACTTGTTGCATGATCCATAAGAACAAGTCGAAATATAAATCGAATATATCCCGCGTAACTCGCCAAACGGGTAACTTGAAGTTGCCTATTCCCAAAACTGAACTCTTTGCCAATTACGGAAGCATCTCCATATCATGGGGCTGTCAGGATCCGTACTCTGCAGAGGGCGCGAGCAAGAAGATGAGACCATCGAGCATATTCTTTACGATTGCTTGACGCTCTCATTTATTAGAAGATTTGTGTTCGGCGAGTATCGGCTAACCCGGCCGATATAACAGAAGCACCTCTTGGCGAAGTTGTCAACTATATTAAATCTGTAGGCTGGCTCACGAGCTAAGAGGTGTCTATCATCTTAGGAGGATGCACAATGGGCCTAATAAGGCCTTAGTGCTGTGGAGGTAACCCACCCTCCACACGTTACAGATTACAGATGCCCTTAACGTTTGTACATTGTATTTGTTTTGTTAAAATAAATGTATAAATATAACAGTAACTATCATTAATTCATATCAAACTAAACTACGATTTTTAGATGTTTACATACTTATGTATATCACTGGCAATTTCCACTATTCCAGTATCGGTTCTTTAGTTTAAATTTCTTTAAATTGAAACTATACATTTTTAAAATTGATTGCAAAAAAACATGCTCAATATTAACGGTGACACACGGTATAGAAGTCACTCAAACCAAACTTATTACATACCAAAATCCTAAAATTTGGCTTGGAAGCCAACGTGTTAAAAGCAAACGTCACACCATCAAGTTCTACTCATTCTCAAACTAACAAATTTGTTTTTCGTCAACTTTTATTTAATATGATATATATGGAGCTAGAAGGTATATATGTACTAATTATATATACATATATAGGGTGCTAGAATGTATATATGTATAAACCATATATAAGGAGCCATTTAGTCAAATTAAGTGCGAAAAATTCCGGGTGCGAGAACGATTAAATAGTTTTTGGTGTTACTTCGTCGTTTTACCTGTATATATATATATATATATATATATATATATATATATATATATATATATATATATATATATATATATATATATATATTTTAAATGTCTGTTCATTTATCAATTTTATTTTTTAATTAGTTCATCATATGGCAACATTGACGTTCGTGGTTACTGTTTATATTTTAATTTGTATTAATTATAATTAGAATTTTTTCTAACTTTTGTAATTAAAATTTGTTTATTTCTTATAGTATGTGATAGTGTTTATATTAAAAATGAATTTTGCGAAAAAAACCCAGCAAATTGTAATC